GGGTTTAAAGAAACGTGAAAGGTGGCTCACGGCTGGGGCTGTTTATAGTCTTACGAAAGGAATGAATGAGGAAATGCCTCCCTACTTGACAGGCCACAACTGCAGGCCACTGGGAGCTTGCCTCCCCCTCCTCTGCAGTCCGTTCATCCTCTAAACTATTTTCAGTTTCTTCTTCCCAGCACCTCCCTACTCCCCCATCCTCACCCCTCCCTCTGCTCCTGAGCCCCAGACTGCTGGGTCCCAGGTTCTGACTCCCTCACCTGCTCCTTGCTGCCAGTTCCCACCAGGATTGGGGCTGGAGATCCGGCTGCCCCACTGAGTCCCACGAAAGGAGCCCCTGGGCAGGGGGGTCACTGGTGTGGGAGCCTGGATCGGTGGCTCATGGTGCTCGGTGGTGTGTGAGAACGGGTTAGTCCGTCTCTCCACCCCGCTGCGGGGAAACGAGCCGCAAACAGCCTCAGTTTCGGGGATAACACTTCACAGCTCCAAAGCAAACTTTAAACAGCTGCGGAATGGTTCTGAGCCGCAGCTGCAGGACGGTGCTGAACGCCGGGACCCCCAGATTCACAAGAATGCATCATTTGCTGCCCGGTAAAAGGGGGACGATCCACCCCGAGCCGCTTTGGCCAAGGATGGAGCCGAGCCAGAGCAGCGGGATCCCATCAGAGGTTCTGTACAACCCATGTTTGAGTCAGCACCCAGCCAGCACGAGCTCCATCCCTTACCTCATCTCAGCGCCTCGTGCGGCACGCTCCGGCTCGCTGCTCCCTCGCAGGACCGGCCCCTGGCTCCCAGGAGAGCAGAGTGTTCCAGCTCTTCTCTAACATGTTGCTTTCACCGTTAGTTCCTCAAAAAAGAAAAAGAAAAAAAACAACAACCCACCAACCAGTGCCGTTAATTGCTCTGACTTTCAGAAAAGGTGATTGCAAAATGCTTCCCCGCAGGCTGTATCTGCCTGGCTTTCTGGCAGGAAGGAAGGAGCACATCACACGCAGCGAGCGGCTGGGGAAAGGGCTCCCGGCTCATCCTCCTCCCCTGCCCACCAAGCTTCGAAGGGAGTCCATGAGCGGCCGGGATGGGGCAATAATGGGTTGGTTTGCTGTGACCTGGTGGAGCCAGCTGGGCCGGCTCGGCCTCTGAGAGGCTGGCAAGGGGAATACAGCCTCCAAGGGGCCCTGGAGCAGAGCGCAGCCTTTGGGAGGGGCTGGACGTGCACTTTAAGTGCCCTTGTTTGTACAGCCCAGTGCACCGTTCAAGGCAGCATCACACGCTCAGAGCTCACATCCACCCTGTTCATCTGCTGCATGTTCTCCAGGGCTTTGCCCAGCCAGTGGCACGTCGGGGAGAGCCCCGCCATCCCCCAGTCTCCACCTTTGTTCCCAGGGGCAGGCCCTTCCACAGCTCTTGGTGCCAGCTGTCCCCTCACCCCACACTGGAGAATAACCCTCCAGGGTCCCTACTGTGAGTGCTGCCCCGGCCCTCCCTGGGTGACACTCCTGATCCTCCCTGGGGTCTGCTCCTGGGTCCTTCCCAGCAGAGACTGAATGGGGAAGGCCTAAATCCAGGATTCTCCAGTAACAGCTGGTGGAGTGGCCGTGTGCTGGGACACAGGGTCCTCCAAGTTGCAGAGCCATAGAGTTTAAGGGCAGAAGGGAACCTGGTCTGATCATCTGGTCTGACCTCCTGTGTATCAGAGGCCACCAAGCCCACCCAGCACCTGCCCGCTAAGCTCAGCTGGCGTTTTCTAAACACCCAGCGTTTCCTGCACCAAGGTGACGAGCGGGTGGGCCCTTGCAAAGGCTGCCGAGAAAAGGGGAGACCCACCTCAGCAAAGTCCCCGCGGGTTTGAGGACATATCTCCCCCCAGCACAGCATGTGCTCAGCCAACTCCGTTCCAAACGCCCCAGGGGCTCAGGAGAGCACGCTGCTGACTTTGACTCACCCCGGGACGATGTGGGGTGCAGTTCAGGTGCCATTGAAGTGGAAATCAAGACACAGCCTTGACTATGGCACTGCTGGGATTCACTCCAGAATTCACCTCTCCAAGTCCTAGCACAGTTCTTCGGGGCTCCCTTTGGCCATGGTGAGAACTGGCCATCTAATCCTTTGTGTCCCGCCTCTTCGCCAGTGTCTGACCCATGACAATACTCTGCCTCGCGCCCCGGGTTTATTTTGTTTCCTTAACAGCCGCTTGCGAGGGGCTTTGTCAACAGCTATTTAAAGTCCAAATCAACTACATTAGCTGGTTCTCCCTCTCCAAGAACTCTAGTAGATTGAAGAGGTGCAGTTTTTCCTTTACGGAGCAGGGCTGGTTTGTCCCTGTGGGATCGCGTTCATCTAGGCCTTTCAGAATTCCGTTTAATTACAGTTTCAACTAGTTTCCCTGGCACTGTGGGAGGATTCTCTGCTCAGTGGTTTTCCTCATGTGAACCTCACTTGCCCCTGGTGTGAAATGGGAATAACACTGATTCCCCACACAGGCTACACTTGCAATGTTTCTGAGGTGCTCAGTTACTGCAATGACGAGACAGAAACACAATAACCCTTAACTCTGCCTTAGCAGGGCCCCTCTAGCGCTCAGAGGGGGGTTATCTTCTGGGCCCTTTCATAGTTTTGCCTTTTTTTCATAGATTCATAGATTCATAGATTCTAGGACTGGAAGGGACCTCGAGAGGTCATCGAGTCCAGTCCCCTGCCCGCATGAAGGGACCTCGAGAGGTCATCGAGTCCAGTCCCCTGTCCTGAGATATCCAACTGTGGTTATTGAAAATTGTATTAAAATTGTAGGTTGTCACTTTAAATTTCAGATTTTTTTCTTGGTTCTGCTTGCAGGCTAGGGGGCTCTGTAAGGAAGTGTGCAATTGGAGTTGGTCTGGAAAGAACCAGCCTACTGTAAAGTGGAATGAGTTGGGTCTTGCTATTTTAGGGAGCAGCCTGCTTTGTCTCTTCCTGGTTTGGGTTCTTGTCTGTTATTGTTCTGAATTCTAGGAAATTAACTCATGTTATGTTGCAACTTTCTGGTAACAGGATTTGATGTTTTTCTCTAACTTCTCTGTGTGTAGGCGGTGCTATGTTCTGTACCAGTGAAGGTGCTAGTTTGTGGTGGCTTTTGTGCTAGAAACATGCTAGAAACAAATCCTTTACTTGTAGAGGTCTGTGACCTACTTTGGGTGCTAACTGCCTCTTGGGAACAGCCATGCTCGAGACAGGGCATTGGCTCCTAGACCTTAAAATTTCCGCTTTAAACCTCTTTGTTGTTTCACCCACACGTCCTAGGGCAGCATCACATCCCTTAGACCGTGTTACAAGCACATTGCATTTGTTGAGCTGGAGTATGGGAGCGATTGTGTAAACAGAGTATTGCCCAATCCCATGATGCACTGGTGACCTTTCCAGTGGTAGCATTTATTGTGCAAACCGCTGTTTACTATGGGATTTGTAATGTGTTTGTTTACTTGATATGCGTTAGCGGCACATTACTCATGCATCACCCCGCCGCAAACAACTGCTGTGTCTGCCTCTCATAGGATCATAGAATATCAGGGTTGGAAGAGACCTCAGGAGGTCATCTAGTCCAATCCCTGCTCAAAGCAGGACCAACACCAACTAAATCATCCCAGCCAGGGCTTTGTCAAGCCGGGCCTTAAGAACCTCTAAGGATGGAGATTCCACCACCTCCCTAGGTCACCCATTTCAGTGCTTCACCATCCTCCTAGTGAAATAGTGTTTCCTAATATCCAACTTAGACCTCCCCCACTGCAACTTGAGACCATTACTCCTTGTTCTGTCATCTGCCACCACTGAGAACAGCCGAGCTCCACCCTCTTTGGAACCCCCCTTCAGGTAGTTGAAAGCTGCTATCAAATCCCCCCCACTCTTCTCTTCTGCAAACTAAACAATCCCAGTTCCCTCAGCCTCTCCTTGTAAATCATGTGCCCCAGCCCCCTAATAATTTTTGCTGCACTCCACTGGACTCTCTCCAATTTGTCCACATCCCTTCTGTAGTGGGGGGACCAAAACTGGACACAATACTCCAGGTGTGGCCTCACCAGTGCCAAATAAAGGGGAATAATCACGTCCCTCGATCTGCTGGCAATGCTCCTACTAATACAGCCCAATATGCTGTTGGCCTTCTTGGCAACAAGGGCACACTGCTGACTCATATCCAGCTTCTCGTCCACTGTAACCCCCAGGTTCTTTTCTGCAGAACTGCCGCTTAGCCAGTCGGTCCCCAGCCTGTAGCGGCGCATGGGATTCTTCCGTCCTAGACTCTGCACTTGTCCTTGTTGAACCTCATCAGATTTCTTTCGGCCCAATCCTCCAATTTGTCTAGGTCACTCTGGACCCTA